TTAAGCATGCATATAGTACCTGGCTCATTTTGAACAATATCAGAGTACATGCTATATGTTCAAGTGAAGGTTTCTGATTACAAAAAAAAAAAAATATTTAAAGTTTCGGATTATGCATGGGAGAAGATCTGTGATATGGGACTGCTTCATCCTACACATGCAGTGATTGTGACGAGTTTGCATCTTCCCCCAAAGAGCAATTTGGAGTTTTTGAACAGGTTAAGGCATGTTGTGACTTCGTATATGCATTCAAGTTGCTATAATCATTAAAAATGAAGTCTACAGCATCATTTAGAAAATTTTAGATTAATTTATCATGCTGAGTAAAACAGAAAGGAACTTCACAACAACAAAAATATTGCATACCGAGCTTACAGAAATCCTTCCTAAACTCATTTCTGCCACACTCGGTTATAGTTGTGTTCTTTGTTAACTAATCATTCAAATCATATAACATATAAGTCATTTATAAAGTTCATAATATTCACTTATTATTGCCACTTCTAGTTGACATGGTGATACAATCATATACTCTATTATCAAATTTGATGCAGAACGTATCAGGTTCTAGGTTCACTTAGGTAAACCCAGGATGGAATGCTTAAAAGTCTAAAAGCATGTACAAAGAACAAAATTTGCAGTTTGATAACTTTAGTTTTAAATTTAGTCCTTTTTTATATGAAATTGGAAAATTAAATTTTGCTAAAATCTAGAAGTAGCAAGAAAGTCCGTGATCAAATGAAAGCTATGAAACGAATAAAATTCATACCACAATGAAAGCATCTAGATTGTATAAAACGTGACCACATCTCGATCACACACATATCAATAACTAAAAAATAGAGAGCTAAAAGAAATAAATAAACATAGTGTTAATCCAGGTCTCTCTTTGATATGAGGAGAAAACTTTCATCAAAAGTAGTCATAGGTACTTGCTTATTCATTCTTCTTTCAATGCAGTTAAAAGAAACTTTTATCAAACATTTTTTGAAGCCACCATAATCTTCTTTCCATCGGTATTCCCATGAATATCTCCCGGTTATCCTTATCTTTAAAGTATTCTAAGGCAAAGCCATATAACTCAAAATTGTCAAATATATCAGGAATTTTAGATATCTCTTCTAAAACCTCTAGGTAGTAAATGTTGTACGATTTTTATTTAATGTACTTATGGCAGAACTTATAGATTTTGCAGCATCCACGAGGTCGTCAACATGATTTAGAAAAAGTTCTCTACTACCCGACTTAGGAGTTCTAACTTTCTTCCTTTTATGCAATAATGTGGCACTCTGTTGTGATCTCTGTGTATCGTAGTTGCTTGTAGGCTCGTTTGTAGGAACATGTGGAAGATGTGTTGTTCATCTTGAGTGTACTCTTCTTCTTCAGATGAGATTGCGTGATTGTCATTTAGTTCTGGGGGAAGTACACCAGAACTAGGAATCCAAACATTTTCACCAGTTGCAACAATACGACTGAACATAAGATCCAACTTCTCTTCCAATCTGGTGGTATTCCATTGAAACGAACTTCTTAGCATTTGGCATTACTTAAAGTACAACAAATGATTAATTATGAATCATGCGTTATATTACGTAAGTGTTGGTTTTAATTTAGAGTATAAAGTGAATGATTTAAAATTTGAGAGATACCTGCAATTTTTCATTCCCCCAATCATTAGAAGCATCAACTGTTTTTTTAATTGGATCCAACCAATTCCAGTCTCGCCTCGCAACAATCTTTCAGTGCTTCCAGTCTTTCTTTATATTTAATTGGTCCCACTTATTTTTAAGTTGGTTTCGGTTATAAGTTCGTCCAGTGCGTTCATTGAAATTTTCAAGTATATTTTTCCAATCTTCTTTAGTAAAATGCGTGGTTGGTCTATTTCCCAGTTCTATTTCTCTTATACATATATCACAATATGTTAAAGTCGTATCTAAGTCCCATGATGCAGGTGCACATCCTTCTTTTTGATTAAACAAAAATTAAGATAATTGTATTATTTATACGAACAAAAGAATTTTATTGATTTACAAAACTTCTAATTGTAGGTTACTATTTATTATTTATAAATCATATATATTGTATCAAATTGTGCCTAATTATTAGTAACAGTTGTAATTTTTTGTAAGGAAAGAAAAAAAGTTTCAGTTGAACCACTTCATATAGAATAAGCAGTCGAATAAAATAGGGTAAGCGAATCACTTGAAACAATGGAAGAAGCTTGACGTTGCTGATGATCGGAAGAAATAAGTTGAACCACTTGAAATAGAAAGAAGAACGCCTCTTCTGAACGAGCAGCCAAGCGGGAGTACGAAGTATTGATTCTGAAATAGCAAGTAAAACTATTACATGAAAAATGTAACTGATATGAAATTTCTTATTTTCATTCTCTTCCTCATTATTAAGGATCAATACGATCTCTGTGTCATATCATGCTTTTAAGCTCTGCCTCTTGGTATCAACGTCACCTTAATACAGGTTGGACTATTCCAACTCTTCCATATTAAGAGTCAAGAATTTTTTTATTTTTTTTCTGATACAGGTTAAATCGTTCCGGTATGAAGAGTTAGGAAAATGCCGAATTTTGCAAAATCCTGGCAAACGGGATTTGTGCCCGTAAATCTCAAGGCGGAATGAGCAGAAGAAGATTGATTGGGATGGTATTAATTAGTATAGGACTGTGCGTATGAGACAGCACTAAGATGGTAGAAATAATGTGAAATAATTACAATGGAAGACGGCTAAGAACAAATTGCAATGTTCAGGAATAAGGAATTGTTTGAAAGGATTTATTCGCTAAGAGAAACTTAATGCTGGTCTTAGCAAGAAAAAGATGTAGAGGGATCCATACCAGCTGATTGCAAATAGAAAATGTCTGATATATGATATTGACAGATCTCAGAAGAAACGGCTTAGCAATAATATTCGATTTGCAATTCTTGAATCATATGTAAAAGATAAAACCGATTGTGAAGGATAAACTAGAAAAATAGCAGCGAATGAGCAGAAGAAGAAAGGAAGAAAGTTACCTTGCAGAGCGAGCGATCTACCGTCGTTGCTTCCGAAAAACCCTAAATTTCCGTGACAGGGAGGGAACGACGTTGAAGGAGCGAAGTCAAACAACAACGAAGAAGCAAGAGGTAGGAAATTCGGTTTCAGCTAGGAGGTTACCCGGAAAATGCCGAAAGGGACGGTTCGGTTTCCTGAATCGATTGGGAGCAGACTGTCTTGTTCGGGCTTTTTATTATTAATTGAGCGAGATTTCAGAATCGATGGGCAGCCTGTCTTGTTTGGGAGTCCGGATGTAAGGAGCTAAAAAAACAACGACAGTTTTTTTGTCTTGCCATTTGAAGAAGAGGAAGGTTTCGTGGTCGACCAGAGAACGCTCCGGGTTAATTCGGACATTTGGTGAGCGAAACTGTGTTTTTTGAACGAATAAGCGGACAGGGAAAAAATTTTGTAACCACTCAAAATACGTGGTTTACTAAAAATTGATTACGGTTAAACTTGTCTTCCAAAGAGTTATGACAAACTGATTAAAGCTTATTCAAACGGAAACGGAGAAATAAACTTAATCAAACGAGGCCTAAGTCTTTATTTGGGACGGCTTTTTTACAGCTTCTTAAAGCAGCTTTTTAGTACAAAAATTTTAATTTTTGTACTTAAAAACTATTTTAAGAAGTAATAAAAAGCCGTCCCAAATAAAGCAAAAAATTGACCATTTGAAGGTCTTAAGAAAGTATAGAAAACATCATCTTGAAGAAAGTTCACCTTTCCTTGGTATGAAGATCTTCGTCATTTTGCTCCTTTGTTTCATCTTCCAAGTAACATCTGATCTCAAATTTGACTGTTTTTCTGTCGATTAGTGCTGATGCAGAAAAACAGAAAGCAATTAAAACAATGGATAGGATTAACCAGAATGAATACGACAGGCTATAAATTAAAAATAGGTAAGCGTTTAAGGCAAGTCTTGAAGAGTACAAGATCCAACTACACCCAAATCTTGTTTACTTTAAAATTAACACCCAACTACATCTATTTACAGCAATATCACTCAAATCTGAAAGAGCGAAACAAAACTCCACCCATATTATTTGCTTTCAATATAATTTCAATGATTTAATCATAGCACACACAAACACATGAGTTTGGTAACTCATTTTAAAAACTCAAATGTTAGTTTTTTAAATAAGGAAGATTTCGGTGCCATGCAAATAAATCTCCCTACAAATAAATAGTGCTTGCAATTACAAATATTTTTTTGTTACTTGTTGAAACACTGCATAAAAAAGTCAATGGTATTTGCAAAACAATGAAATGGCAATATCTCACATGAAATTAGAAGAATAATCTCAAAATGGTATAAGAGTTGAATACATCAATCAATAGAACGAGTAGAAACCTTTATAAAGTTTTTCTAAATGATAGAAAAACTTTTTCTAAGAAGGAAGAATAAAACCCTGATCGAGAAATATTAAAAAGTATAAATTATTTCAGACAAAAGCTCAATAATCTATAGAGTGGCCAGATTAATTAACACCATTTTTTTTTATGGAATTTAGTGTAAGGGCTGGTGAGAAACAAGAAAAGGAGGTAGAAGTGAGGTGGTAAGGGGTTTCGCTGTAATTAGCTTAAAAATATTTAGCTCTGACACCAATTGCTAGAGACCATAATTATGAAGATC